ATTATGACATCAAAGATTATTGGAACTGAAGTGAAGGACACAGGATATTAGTGTTCTGATAGGTTTTGTGACCAAAAAGTTGACAAAGAAACAGTAAATCCTTTGGAAAGCATCTTCAGATTCCCGAGTTGTTTTCAAACATGTCTCCTCCAGCCTCTTAGGTGATACCTTAGCTGTGTTAAGTGTGTGAAGTAACCTACACTTGTAAGGCAATACCAACAGGGGCCAGGATGAAAGGGGTGTTGTTGACTGTTTGGGTTTGATGCTGCATTCATGTCAGAGCTGTAAACATTTTTGTTGTCCACCTTCCAACAACATGCCATTACCTCTGACGTCAGCCCCTGTTTACTCTTGGGTGTTGATTAAAGGAAGAAGTTGTTCAAACCAGCTGATTGTTGTCTCCTCTGGGATGTCTTCTTGTTTACCTGGATGGCATCCATTAAGACCCCTTCAGACACAGTGACTATACCTGAAGGAAAGTACCTGCATGAAGTCCCTTGGCTTGGCTTACTTACATGTCTTTATTAGGACTCAAAATATTAGTAAACATTCACTTCAAATTTCTTACTTTCATGTACTGCACATGTAATTCCAATAACGCCCATAAAAGGATTATTGAAATTGAGTATATACACTTGTATTAGGGTTTCTTTTCACCAACCAGATGAAAACATGATTTTCGGAAAATTATTGAAATTGCTGTGTCTAACATGACCTTTCATCCAAAGATTTATCAAAATGCTATTTATCAGAAGTAGTGAGATTGAGCAGCTAGTCAAAAATGTGGTTCCAACATGGCTGGATGACACAGGTGATGCATCAGAAACATGTCCAAGTTTCAGACATACAATCTCTAAATCCTTACTCAGTCCCTTGGCTACTTGGCCTCATATTTGGTATCAGCGTACTTACATGTGTGGACTGTGGGATTTGGTAGGAACCAATGCCTTAAGTACGTGTGCCACTGTATTGAAGAGAACTTATCAAAGCAGGGGGCCCAGATGAAAGGTGAAGCGGAAACATAAAAAAAGGCTTGCCTGGTTTCTATGGAAAGATGCCTGGGGCAGTGGATTTGTTCTGCCAGCTTTGCGGAGAGGCTTATTGACAAGATTAGGATAGTTGTGGGCAGGAGATTTTCAACCTGTACAAGTACTGCCTCTGTACACACTGCCCTGTGGGTAGACTTTTCAAAATGTGCAAAAAGATGACTTGATGTCAGGTTGAATTGTTTATACGTGTAAACAAATTTTAAAGATATGGTTTCACTTAGACTGAGGACCAAACTGATACAGCAAATAGTGTTGTTATCAAGGCTGTAATTTGAAGCAAACAACGTCATCAATGCCTGTCCCTCAGGCTTATCAGTTATACTGGTCTAATCACAAAACTTACATCTCTGTGTGGAAGAAGTCATCACCCTTAGAAAAATGTTTTATGTTGTGCAAAAATTGCTGGGATTTAGACATTTAGTCGATTCCAAAAAGCATTACTAGTATATGTGAATTTCTATGCATTTTCTGAGAAAAGTGCATAGAAACTGCAATCTTACGTAGATATGTTCTGTTTTGGCAGTTATCTCTAACTGTTTACAACAGATCCAATGACTTTTCCCATAGCAACAAGATCTACACAGTAACTCCTCGAGTACTGTACAATTGATTTTTGTTTACAGGTATGCATTATAACTGAAGGTAGCGCTGAATGGCTAATGCATGGTCACCTAACCTGTGAGGCAACTACGGGTTTCTCTTGTCTAGTCGTCTTTCAAGAAATGAAGGATTACAGTAGCTTTTCAGAAACGGCTACAAAAGATCTGTCCCAGCAAACATTACTGACATGCCCACACGCAGCAGTATTCTCTTAGTTATGTCCTTTCAGGGATCCTCCCTTCCAATACCTATAGTTATCACTGTTTGGTATGGAAATGGACCATGGAGTTTTTTTGTTCAGGGAAGCCAGTCAAACGTAGCCTGCAGGCAGCTACAGGTATAATGCCAGCATGGTTGGATGCCTGTAAAGCTTCCCCAGGAGGTTGAGTAAAGTTTGTGGGTAGGATCAGGAGATGAGACAGAGGGGACGCCACACAGCACGTCATTCCCATTGTCCCACCAGGTGAAATGACCATGAATGACGTAGGCTATACATGTACATGTAGCTCCGTGTGACTAATGGCACCTGGTGTAAAAGGTTTCATTGATGTTTTCCAGTTGCTTAAGAAACACTCTCGTCACCAAGTACATTATTTTGAGGTAAACATGTACTAAAAGTTACAATCCACCATATAAGTATGAATGGAAAAGTGCTAAGTGTGGTCAGTTAGTTCTTTCCAAAACAGGTTACATATTCAAGTAGGCTTGGATACCTTGGTTTACTGGTGAATTCCATGATGTTTTTAAGTTTGGCTGTATTTACCTTGTGCTACAATATCTATAGTTACTTGTGCATGTGCAAACAGACAAGTTAAGGTCACAGGCCACCTGAAGGGGGATGGAATCAACAAGTGTCTGTCTACAAGGCCGTACATGTACATATGTGTAGCTCAGCCAGTTAGGCAGGTTTAAATCTGCAAGTTAGACGATGATATAAGACATCTTTTTTCATGGTGGATTCAGTTTCTGGAAAGACTAACTTTTAGACTCATGCACATGTCGTATTTAATAGTTTAACAAAATGGAATAACCTAATTAAAGTCTCTTTATGTTGTTATGTGTACTTTGATTTGAAGAATGAATTTTAAAAAAGCAAAGCCCATTCTTGTGACATTTTCCTCCTTTCATACATGTATATATAACTAGATAAGTTAGTCCTAAATACAACTAATGGAATGACAGAGCTCTGTTGTAGCCAGCCTCCTTGGCCTACATTCCGTGATGGTCGCGTGTGCGATGTTTCAAAGCGTGCAAAGTTAAAAGGCTGTCGTGCAGCGGCACCGGAGGAAGGGATTACCCGGCTCACGGCACTAATGAGGGGAGAATTCATCAGCGGGCTCTTGATCTTCTCATGTGTACGTTACTGCAAATTGTAATGACATGGAGGGGGAATACTTACATGCAATGTGAAGCTAGATTCAGGTGCATGTTATTATGATCACGCATTTATTAATATGGGGAGAACATGATGTTTGGAGATGTTTCAGTTTTTCTTCAAACCTAGTACCTGAGCGTCAAGTCATAAATGCTTTGGAGATACGGTTTAATAGGAAACTTGAAAGCATTGGCCCTTCTACAAGTAGTGATCAAACAGTACTTTTCAGGATGATACCACATTAAATTACAAGATTGCCAAGGACAGTGCATACTTTATTGCTGTGTCTGTTCTTTTGATCTTATTGATTTTTTGCCTTTTTTATGTTCCCTTCATCATACATGTACATGTAACTTGCATAAGGGTATATTACCTTGAAACCACATCAGAAGCTTTTATACAAATTTACAAGTAGACTTGTCTATTTTTGCAGAATCATACATTGCGCACAATTTTAATTGTTCCCCCTCCAGCATAATATGTGGATTTTGTACTTAGCGGCGTCATTTGCCGTCAAATCCTTTATTCCACACGCCGACGCACATGACAAATGTGGTCTCTATTGATCTAGGTTGACAGGTGTGCAAGCAGGCTTCAAAGTCAATGAATTCTGCTTGAACAAGTGTCAGTCCCTACCCAAGCTACTTGACTATGGCATAACATTAATTAAAACACTGTAGTGTCTCCTCTACAAGCCAGCAAACCAGCCGTAGGGGGAGACAAATGGTGCAGTGACCCCTTTGTTGACTTGAGGTTGTGGTTACGGTATCAACACAAATATCGCCATTTTGAAGGTGACCTTGTCCCCCGGTAACCAGGAGACGCGTCGCACATGGAAGCAGCCGTGTTTATCCTCCCCTCCGTACAGAATGTGGCGTGGCACTTCAATATGCAAAGCCTTATTTTGGGTGTAGAAAGGGGAGCCCAGCTTCCCTCCCACACCATACTAAAATGTTGTTGTGTCTCAGGGACAGTAAACAGTTTCAAGGTAAATGAAATACACAGAGGCTAGCAATTCACCAGAAGAACAAACAAACAAGCCGTGTTTAGAATGCACACATGGGACAGGTGAACAGAACCCGGGGAATAATAGCAGAGTAAAGAAAAGCATGTAGATGACTTGCACACACCATTACATGTGTACAAGCTGTCTGCCCAGTTATTCTGTTACAACCTTGAGACAGGGTCAACACCATGGACTCTCTGGAATGTGGTTGTTACTCTTGGGCAGTAAAACTGTTGTTTAAAATGACAGGTGCATGGTCACCTGGTATTTCTGCTGATAAAGATGTCCTTACTTTACCCCAAGGGAGTGAGATGTTGTTTTGTTGGCTGACTGCCTATTTGCCTACCTGTGTGTGTGTGTTTCTGACCCTGACTACTTTGTCCAGGTCATGATCATAGTATTCCTTGGTATTTCATGTAATAAGGCAGCATTCAGCAACATTCAATAAAAACAGTGACTTGAAAACTTAACCTTGAGGTTTCCAAATCAGTGTTGACAATAATAAAGCTGAAGATGGCTTTGGCAGATTTCTCCAGTTTCAGTCCAAATAAATCCCTAACATAATCCAAAATCCTTCATAAGCTGCCCAAGGACACAGAATTTTAGCCGTTTGTTATGTTACCTACCTGAATCTACATACTGTACATTATATTGGCTGTTTTGCAGCAAGACATGAATAAGTCCTTGACCTGCCCAGACCACTGTTGGTCTTTCCTTTATTATCACTTTACCTCGGCTGTGATGAATGGTAAATGGAGTTTGCCTTCAGGTTAATCAGTCTATTCACAGTAATGCCTGTACCAGCCTGTTGCCAGGGTTTGGTAATTGTTTGGCTCGGTTGCTACGGGCAACATAATTTACCATGAAAACACTCCTTGCTGGGCATATCCTATCAGATTTTATGGCACGAAGTGAAAATCCATTAAATTTATAATCATTGCTCATTTCCTTCCCTGTCACGCTCTCACAGAACCCACATTTTATAGAAAGCATCTGTTCTACAACTGGTCCTGGGAAAAGAAAACTGGATAATGATCCCTATCGAAAGGTAAAGCAGCCAACCTCAGGAGATGTGGGACTCTTTTTCTGGGAATATCATTGTGATCTTGTTGCCTCTCGTGTTTTCAACCAGGCACACCGGGTGTTGGGTTCCTGTAGATGACATTAACATTCTCCCTATATCATGTACATCTACAGTTTCCTAAGCAGGCTGGTTAAAGAATGCCCTTTTCACTAACACTGGTACCGTTACTGATTCCTAACAGGGGGTGGTTAAATTTTCTGGTTGGAAATAAACTCTGTTTGAAAAAGGGTGGAATTCAAGGCTTAAGGTGATTTTTACAATGTTGTGAGTGGTTAAGGTAACATCTGCTGTCACAATAGAATAAAGACATATTGCATACCATCCCCTTAATTGATGACATCAGATTTGCACAGTCTGTGTGTGTCTATAGCACCAAATATGGACTGTCAATAATCACAAAACATGTACAATGTACAGTACTTGGAACTTTAGGTACAAAAGGTAGAAAAATATGGATATCACTAACGTTACTGCTAATTACGGTGTTATGGCATTTTATTTCTTCTTTGCATGCTAGCAGTTCTGTAAGATGTGCACAGAGCCAGGTTCAGGTGTTTGTTACCTTGTAAGCCTCTTACACCATCTTCCCTCCACAGATGGTGGTACTAATGGACCCACAGGAGGACCCAGACGACATCCTACGAGCGAATCGATCGCGGGAGAAGCAATATGTGTTTGACTACTCATTTGATGGCAGGTCCAGTCAAGTGAGTATTAGTTACACATTACACGTACATGGGGCCTCTTAAAGTGTAAAATACGATCAATATTTCTGTCCAAAATTGTCCCAAGATAGGTTATTGATAGACTTTTATTAGCTGTACATTATACGCAGGGAAGCCCTTTTTCTCTATTCATGCACTTGGCATTTACAGACATGTACAATGTCATGTATAACCTTTCCTCCAGAAGAAAAGTTGACCCTTTAAAAGCCCAACAAAATGGTTTGCAAACTCATCAGCATTCTAACACAGGCCTAGCTGAAGCAAGCCTCAGACCTCTATATTCAAGTGTTGACATGACTGAAAATTTGGTCACGCACATGCATGTATAGTCAGTCCTAAGATAAAGTTCATTTAATTAGCATATAGATTGGCATATACATGTAGATTGGCATTTGGCTTAAAAATAACTTGACACAACCTTCATGATAATTTGTTGTAGGGTGAAGGCCGTTTTCACAGTAGACTGACATTGATGTCTTTTATACTATCTGTAATCTAAAATATGTATGTCTGTCATGCTTGTTCCAAAGGCATCCAATTTAGACAGACAGGAGTTAAATTCCCCCGGGACTATTCTGTTATGCAATGATTGTCTCCTGGCAAGTCCATGTCAGACTATACACCATAATCCATCATGCAGTTGACATACATTGTACCTCAAACCCTCATACATGTTGTGAAAGGGTACATGTATACCAGTTGGTAGTACATACGTGTCGGACTAAACCATTGATTTTGCAAAGTTATTGATTTGCTTGGTACTTGTCATGCTATAGTTAGAACAATAATGTATAAGCCTCTTTCACGCCATGTTTACATGTCAAACAATCTCCCTGGGAAAGTGGTAGATATTTGTGTTTTAGTTAATAGCATTAACCATGAAATGACGGCCTTTCATGTCTGTGATTTAATAAAAACAAGCAAAGGCACCATGCGTGCAGCCAGAGTTGACTTATATTACATAACATAATGTATCTTTCATAACAGTGGGCTCACAAGGAGAACCTTGAACCAACAGATTCTTTTCTTTGGTACTGAATAGTGTAGGTGCGTGACAGAGAGCACTACATACTACGGCTGCTTTATACAAGGTTCCCGTGACGTTTTACACATTTCACGGGATCAAGTTCTCTGAAACCGACTGAAAAAGCCTTTTCTGAGGCAGATACAGTATTACATTTCCCATAGAATACATTGGCTCCACGTCCTACATGCCCGATTGGATGCTTGAGTGAAATTCCATAATGTGAACCTAAGGGCTTTATCAGGAGGGTTCAATAGATGGCATTTTGCAAAATCAAAAGCACGTAGAAGGGCATTGTGTTGACACTGAATAGGTGAGACCCTGATCACTCAGGCAGTGCTAGGGATGAACAAGCCCCTGGAAACAGGATTCTTTCACAACTTGGCAGTCCAGACACATACTACATAGATCATAAAAGATTAAATATTAAAGAAGCTGCTACAGCCAATTTGGATTCTTCTTTGAGCAGTCAGCTATACAAGTTTCCAATAGTAAAGAGACATCTAGCAGTTAGCAGTTGAACTGCAGCCAATACAGCGTAGTATTCCTTATATGATGACATTTGTAAAAGGTAATGACATGAAAAAGACATTAAAAGATAAGTACATGTTGTCATTTTGTGTTGAGATACACTAAATTACAATGTTGGGAATGATGTCAGATGTAGCTGTGGCTAGAGTTTAAACATGTTTGTCACTCTTTCATCCTATGTAGGAGGAAGTTTATGCCCACACCACCCGGCCCCTGATAGAGAGTGTCATTGAGGGATTCAACGCTACTGTCTTTGCCTATGGTGCTACAGGTATGCCAATGTCCTCCTAGAATTGTATTTTTGTTAGCTATTACTGTTTGGGCTGACTATTGAAAAATCGCATGAAGGTGGATGAGTTGGGTTGGCCTCAGCTCTTACATACATGTATGTACATATATGATATATCACACTTTCTCTTCCAGGTGCTGGTAAAACCTACACCATGCTGGGCACAGACCACGAGCCTGGTGTGATGGCAAGATCACTCAATGACCTGTTCGAGGGGATGTACAGAACAAGTGAGAACATGGTGTACCAGGTCTCCATGTCTTACCTGGAGGTGAGATGTAGACGTAGCTGTATCTAAGATGACCTACTATGCTTGTGTCCCAGAATTCATATCTGTTTTATTGTTTGGTTATAACAACAGATTTCTTACTGCATACCTCTTGAATTCTTGTAGTTTTCTATTTGGGATGTGACCGTCCTTGATCCTTCACAACTGTACCTGATACAGGTTGTTGTCCGTGTGCTAATTTTGTCATGCCGTCCCTCCCCAGATCTACAATGAGATGATCCGTGACCTCCTGAGCCCTGAGTCAGGATACTTGGAACTCCGGGAGGACACGAAGGGGGTGCAGGTTGCCGGGCTGTCAGAGGTCAATGCCAAATCTACCAAAGAGGTACAAAAATATTCTTCTGTATGCATGTATGTGTGGTTTGGCCATTTGATGCCTTGCCATTGAGTCCTACTCAGTTTGTAAAACTGACATTGGCAGTCAACTAACTGAAGTGGTGTCAAATTTTACAAAAATATTAAAATCAATCAAGTGGGTAAAATCTAGTAACATATTTTAACCTGTCAAAAGTTAAAAGAACAATGTGTTTAAAACAACTTTTAGAACAAACACCAAACTTACGTGTGGTCTTCCACAGGTGATGGAGCTCCTACAACAAGGCAACAAGCAGCGTACCCAGGAACCCACCAAGGCGAACAAGACGTCTTCCCGCTCGCACGCCGTGCTGCAGGTCACCGTGAAGCAGCGCTCACGTGTCCGCAACACCACCCAGGAAGTGCGCGTCGGCAAGCTGTACATGATCGACTTGGCGGGGTCTGAGAGGGCAGCTCAAACCCAGGTCAGTGTCCGTCGCTGACAAACAGCAGTTTACATGGTGTTTTTTTCCACAGAACTATACTTAAGAGCTGTGTAGTTTTTTGACTATCCCATTATAGTAGGTCAATTTGGTTCTATTTCTGAAGGGTGTTGAATCTTGCACACGGGCGTCAGTGAACTCAATAGAAAATGCTGAACATGCCTCGCTTACCACATACCCACAAACATTTTGTAAGGCTAGAAAGGCATCCAGCTAGCCCATGCATAATTATGTAATGCAGCCTTCATCATTTCTATCAAATCATGATATCACTGTGACATTGAATGAAGGCTTTCTAATCCATCCATTCATATTTCATATGAGAATCTGCATTTCCTGGACACTTTTTTCATCTATTATCCATCAGACTTTTCTCACCAACACTGAACTTTTCTACTAACACAAGCATGTTATGGAATATGTTTGCAGCTGAACAAACGCAGACAGCAGAAACCGGTAGGACAGACTTGGACAGAATCCCTGAATTTTAAGTCATATCTGGCACTGTTGTTGAAATGTACACATGCATATCCATACATTTGTACATAACCACAGCTAGCACCCACAGTCGGAATGGCTTAAGGTGGCCCAAGCTTTCAAGTTCAAATCCACTTGACTAGTACTGTGAAGTTTTTAAGACACCAGATACATGTGTACACATTACCTCTTATATGTTACAGTGGCAGCCAACTTTAAGCATTATACATTGTACCTATCATTTAAACACAAGTCTTCACCCACTTGTAAGTGAAATTTGTTAGTAAAAAGTAGTAAAGGATGACCATTGTAACTTGGCTGTCTCTTCCTTTCCAGAATCGAGGTAAGAGGATGAAGGAAGGTGCTCACATCAACCGCTCTCTTCTTGCGCTGGGGAACTGTATCAACGCGCTGTGTGAGAAGGGCCCGAAAGCATACGTGAACTACCGTGACAGTAAGCTGACCAGGCTGCTGAAGGACGCCCTGGGAGGCAACTGTAAGACTGTGATGATCGCCCACATCAGTCCAGCCAGCACCTCTTTTGATGAGTCCAGAAACACTCTGCTGTATGCAGACAGAGCAAAGAACATCAAGACAAGGGTAAGGAACCAGCTGAATATTACACAGTGTTCGAAATACCTGTCTGCAGTCTGCAATCTGCAGATAGATTTTCAAGATTGCAGAAGAAAAATTTGTACAATCTGCAATTTTGCAGAAGGAAAAGTAGGCTCCAGATTCAATGGTTTTCAATTTAGCAAACTAGAACTCTCAGGCCCCAGGGGCAGACAACATTTAAATCATGTTCTGAAACAACAGGAGCTTCTTTACTAATTAACATCATTGTCTTGACTTGTCTATCTTTTGTTTCCTTTTGACTCCAAAAATTTATCTTTACTAATTTGCATATGAATCAATAGTTTGTGCTAATAAACCTGCATTTCTCCTGCAATGTGAAAGATACCAGGAAATGATAAATTTTCTGTAGAGAAGGATCTATGAAGTCTGAAATCAAAAAGAGTAATAGTTTAAACTTAAAAGAATCCCAGTAATGCTACAGATTTACAAAGCTATATATGATGTAAAAAGGCATAATTCGTCTGAGAAGGTTGTAGTATGGAGGCATGTGTATTTGCATGCAGGAAGTATTTCCAAATTGCAGTACCAAATTTTGACTCTTCTGCAATATTGCAGAGTACTGAAAAAAAGTATTTCGACCACTGTTACATGATGTTGATAGCAGAAACTATCTGAAACACAGAAATGCATGCCTACGACTGAAATTTTGAGGAATGAGGCATCTATTTTATGTAAAAAATTACAACATAATTCTTGAAGTATTATTGAGTAAATTTTTGTCATCCTTTGTCCTCTGATAGGTGAAAAGAAATTTGATGAATGTCTCGTACCACATTGCGCAATACACGGCCATCATCTCAGACTTGCGGAAGGAGATTTCCCGGCTGAAGCTGAAGATTGAGGAGCAGGAGATGGTGAAGAAGGAGCTATCCCAAGGACAGCAGCTCAGGTCCAGGATCAAGGAGATACAATGTAAGTTTACATCTACATAGGGGAGATACAGTGTTAGTGTACATATGGGAGATACATGTACATTTACATACTATTAGGTAGTAAATACCTTCATTTTTGTAATGGAATTTTGATAGTTGGTAGAAAAGTTTCATTTCATGCACTTTGGATAAAATTGACTGCATGATGACTACTGCAATGTACTTTGAAATGACAAGACATGAGGTATAAAATCATCATAGTACTGCATGCTAACCTTGAATGTTGTTATCAATGAATATTTTATGTTATGCCATGTTCTTGATACCAGCCCATAGAAAGATGACAGGGGAAGCAAACGTGTTATTGGTTAGATGGTGTGAGAGCAGATAAGATTGAATACAGCCAAGGGAGCAATCAGTAATTAAAATCAGACAACAAATGGCACAGTCATCTATTATTGATCCTAGCTGCTTTGTCCCAATAGCACCCTTTCTGACAAGGGCAATGCTTCAATTTCTTTCATTCTACGTCAAGTAATCAAATTATTCCCTTTGAAGCATGATTTATGCTGTTTTGGGGTTTTGTTTGGCCAGTTTTGCTTGGCAACTGTGCACGTAGGCAGCCTTATATCTGTGTGTCTGTGGCTGTTTCTGACATCCATTGACTTTTCCAGCAGAATGAGCATCACATGTAGAGACATCAAATGTTCTCTTTCATTTTACTTCAGGACTGTCAGCAACAGCTTTCATAGTCATTTTGTTTGATGTGTGGCTTACAGCGTACATTTGAAGTGATCGTTTCCTGACTTGTGTATGGTAAGACAGTCTTGTACGCTAAGTTTTCCCCCGGTTGACGTTGTGTGGTGCTGTTCTTGTGACACAGCTGAGGTACAGCTCGAGGCCAGCAAGTCGGACAAGAAGGAGATGGTGCGTCTCCGGGAACAGCTGGTGTCAGCGTTCCACGAGCAGATGGAGATCCGGCGCAGCCTGATGGAGCTGGAGAACACCACGCTGGAGATCCAGATGGACACCTCCCGGCACATGCTCACCATCTCTGAGTAAGTACACATGGACACTTGGTCTTAGGCGCACAGTCAATTATCCTACATGTAGGAGTCAAAATCTGAAATGTACACAAACTGAATATTGTGTTACATGATTGTTTTAAATTAACATCCATAGCATGGAGAACACTTCAGCTCGGACACTTAGCAAACAAATAAATTCTAGTACTATAGAGACAGTTATCTGTCCTAAATACATACAATGTACTATCACGCGAATATGAAGCACATTGTAAAGACTACTGAAAGGGGATAAACTGTACCACTTTATATTGTCTAATTGTGCGTGCTTAGTTGTTAATGTGATATAGAAAATTAAATATAGACTGTTTCTAATGTTTCCACAGATGGGACCAGGAGCAGACCAAGCAGAAGGAAAAGCAGACTGAGGACAATAAGGAGTTGGAGAAGGGAGAGAGCGAGAAGGAGGCAGAGGAACAATCCTCCCACAGTGACTCCTCTTCTGAGCCTCCAGAAGTCCTCCATGCTAAAGATGAGCTGCAGCAGCTGATGGAGGAGCAGAAAAAAGCCTCCAACCTGAAGCTCCAACTGCAGGAGAAACTCAGTCTTATCCAGAGCAAAGGCAGGAAACTGGAAGAGCTGCTGCCCAAACGGATCAACAACGAGGACCAGAAGGAAATCCTGATGCTCCTGTGTAAAGTACATGAGCTGGAAATTGAAAACACAGAGATGCAGTCCAAAACACTGCTTCAAGAAAACTTCCTCCGCCAGAAAGACTTGGTCATCGCGAGGTACGAGCAGCACAAGAACGTGGCGGATGAGATAATCCGCATGCAGCGGGAACTGATCGAGATGCACAATTTACCCGTTCCTCTGGAGCTGGAGGAACTGTACGAGGTGTACACTCAGGATCTGGACGCGTCCTTCAGCCACACCCAGCTGCACACCTTACAGAGCTACCAGGCAAAAATGTCCTTCCTCACTCAGAAGCTTCAGGACTTTGAGGAATATGATGATAAGCTTGGCACGTTGGATGATGAACATTCCAGTCCTTCACCCACAAAGATAAACTCAAGAAATGCATCGACAAAAGACTTGAGTGAAAGAGACACTCCATCAAAGGTTTTCAAAGCAAGTCCTCAATCAAGGATGCTGCGGCAAGCAGCAAATGATAACCAAGTGACCTTAAGTCCGACCCATTCGGACAGTGTTACAAAACTTGAGAGCCTGGTCAGCATCAGCAGTCGAAGCAATAGCCGCACCAGTGACTCACCTGAACCTCCACTAGGGATTGTGACATCACCAGATGATATCATTGAAGTGGCAAAGAAAACAAAGAACATAAACGCCATTGCTGCTCGTCGACGATCACGAGTAAGCACTCACGTTCCAGATGTTCTCACCCTCGATTACGGCAAGACCACAGCTTCTCTTAATTCTCTCAGGGACGACACTCGGCAGTTAAAACAAATTGATGAGGTCAGGTCCAACCCTCTAACACCTGCCATGAGGCACGCTGTTAGTGAGGAGAACTTGTTTGATGAAAAGTCCAGCAGCAAACGCGAGGAATCCCCTCCTCCTGTGTTTGTGCCGAGGATTGCGAAACCTCGCCGTAGTGACAGGAAGAGTCTAGACAGACAAGCGCGCAGAAGGACCAAGTCTCACGAGGTTTCTGAAGACAAGGTGGGTTCATGTTGCTCTTTTGGCAGACTGATATCAGGATTTTCACTTAAATCCTTCCATAAATATGATAAACACTTTACAGGCATTGACAAATTTCTGGTACAATGATCATACAAGTACATGTAGATAATGGTACATGTAGCAGATTCTAACACACTACATGTCTGCATGAGTCTGACCAGTCTTCTTTCACATTATTGTAGAATAAAGCAGGGAAAGTGCCAGCAGGAACAAGGCAAAAGACGCGCAGCATCCGACATTCCAATGGGAACTACTCCGACCCTGCACGGTACGGGGGGCGCCTCAAGTTTCCTGTCAACCACCATACAGGTAAGAAAGTAACTACATACAGTCATCTTAGTTTGCACTGTGCCTTGTGGCATTGAATTCTAAAGGTTGCAGTTCTGTTCTGAGTGTCTGTTCCATTTAATTTGGTGCAGTTGAAATCTTAAACAAGAATACGAAGTTGAACTACATGTACCAGATGTGTGAATATGTTTTTGTATTGCTTTTCAGGAGAGGGTGACCTGCGGACCTTGGAACCAGTCAGCACTCCCCCAACTACAGTCTTCCAGAGTGGGGCAGACAAGGGCAAAGGCCTCTCTGTGCAGAAGAGGTATAGAGGTAAGAAATAAGAAACATTTCTCAGTTTTAAACTGTTAAATCTAGACATGCAGTTTTGTGCAGTAGGCAAGTTTGTATCTGTGTCACGGTTGATACCCTAATTTTTTGCATAAGGAGTGATTTCCAATTTGACAAAAAAGATTATTTTTCTTTTAAAGAAACGGACAAAAGTAATACAAAGCATTATCTAGTATGGCACTCCAAAGTAATTATAATGATATTATGCTGGTTTGCTGTCATGTGTTGATTAATTTTTTGTGGATAATGTGCATGTGTTCGTCAAACATTGTTGGTCATGCTGTTGTTTTGTTTTTCCCCAGGACCTACCTACTCAGACTCCTCCGCTGCCAGCACCCCCCAGCTGCAGCCGCCCCCCATCCGCCAGAAGGCCACCATCCCCGCCTACCGCAAGGCCAACATCGCAGTCGCTGGGCACGCGCTCCCACGGAGCACCGACAAGCACCGCAGATACTAAACACCTTCAACTCATCTGTAGTTACTCTAGCTCTAAAGGTTAAATATTGAAGTTCTAATATGAAAATATTATTAGACAGATTCACACACCTATTTAAAAAATCTAATGGTGGGAATGATATAGGTGTCAAATTTTAAAAATGAATGATTTTCTTGCAGCCAAAAATCATGTTTTATCAAATTATCTTAATTTGTTCTGTGAAGGAGACAAGTGTCTCCCATGATCGATACAGTTACTGCTATCCTAGCTTTATCCTCTTCCAGATCAGATGCTTGCTAGCAATTCACAAGTGCCTTTAATAGTTAAGAGCAGTTGTCTTCTTGTAGCAATTGTAGTGCTCCCTTAGGAGAAAATTTGGCAACAATTTTCCCTTTTTTATGCACATAGTTAGTTGGCTGCTGCTTGAGTTCCTGATACATTCCATTTAACCCATGTTGCCTTCCTTTTAGATTTGGAAAACTTGAAACCATTTTATGCAAAGAATGCAGCATGTATTAATGTTGATAAATTGATTGTTCCCATTAGATATTACCTGTTCCAAGATATCGTTGACATCAGAATATGACAGAAGTTACAACACCACAACAATTCATATGGTAACTCAAAGTAGTATTTATTTAACTTATGAATAAATTAAAATCTACATGGTTTCTTCAGGCTATTGTGACATTGACCAACTCAATAACTTTATAACATATAAATTTAGTTAACCTAAAACTTTGTAAAGAATTGTAAAGATGAAGATCTTTGACAATATTTGAGTATTTCTTTTCTAATCTCAGACTCAATCTATGATTGAAAAATAAGGTACATGTAGTGATCTTTTCTGTAGTTTTGACAATGCTGTACAGGCAGATGATTTTTAATCCTAATGACAGACTAACATGTTCCTTGTATAGTGTGTGTTCTAGTGTATATTCTGTTTCTTACTGTGGAAATATAGTTTGTATCATATTTAACCATGACCTGTAAGTTAAATCAGAATATGTGTACTATGTTCCTGTACATGTATGTATCTACATTCCTTGGCACGATGGTATTGTGATGTATAGTTTGTTTGTTTTTTTCTTGCATGGGGACCACACATTTTTTTAATTACAGTATTATGATTTGCATGATAGATATGTAGTCTGTGCAATGCAATGAACCATCAAAACATTGGCAAATTACCTTGGTACAACACGAAAGAGCAATACTGTATGTGTTACAGTCTCTCAGATTTTACCATCACTGTCAAGTCAATAATGATGACCAGAGAAAACCAATAATAGTGCTCGGTGCCTTGAGCTTAGTTGTATTTCAGCTGTTTAATTGGAATGGGAGTAAAGGAAAAATGTGCAGATTAATACTTGTTCATGTGTAATGTATGACAGGGATAAGAGACTAGGAAAATGTAACGTTACAATCTGTTGATCAGAACAATTTCTAATCATACAGTTAGTAATGGACATCGGTCTAAGGTCTACCCTTAGTTTCAAGTGCTAACTGTGCCTAGATAGCAACTTGTGATGAAACAGAATAGTAACTTTGGTTATTAATTCAGCTGGTGTAGACTTTGGATACAAGAGGAAAATGTAATATTATTTGATTGGGAAGAGAACTTTAGATTGTATTTGAACAGAAAATAAAACTATTCCTATTTTCTACCTACATTGCATTCTGTGTCTTGGTTAAGAGATCATAATGGTTAAGAGAACAATGTACTATAATCTTTATGTTTGCCCATGCAGACCTTCCAGAAAATGCAAAATATTTTATTACTTCAGGTGGGTACATTTTATTCCAGTTAAGCGCTACGTCATCAGCAGCCCATGCTACCATAATAAAGGTCACTCCATGGTCATGACCTCTGTTCGAGTTGACAGATTTATTCCATATCTTGTTAGAAAGATAGTAAGTAAAGTAGGTAAACTGATGATGCGTAGTAGGTAAGCTGATCAAGTCACACTAGGAACAATAGATTTGCCAATTTGCTTTGAAGAGCCAGACGACAGTGAAAGACAAAAGTTGTTCTCTATGAAAATGTAGCAAAAACCTTCCGAGTGGCCTCTAACACGTCCGCAAATTGCTATCCAAAAATTTGCATATTATGATTCACGGCAGCGCTCGTACTATAACGCCAGTCGATTTCCCGCCCGTAATACGGAATGGCTGTAAATTTTCACATATCACATAAAGTGTACCGTTTATTTATTTCAGGCTCGACGGCCCATAATTTACCAAGTACATATAACGTTACACAAACACATCTAAAAAGCATCAAAGTTTACAGATGGATGTTATATACAAGTAGTACGTGGGTTGATAGTCAACTGAGACGATGCAAACAATATTGTGTGAAAAATATATTGTGTGTACAATATTGTGGGAATGACACAGTCCTTTGGTGAAATTGGGTGGCCCTGAAAAGGGCCGGTGGTTTTTCTGACTCCCGTCGTTTACTTGGAGCTGGTGTACTTGGTGACGGCCTTGGTGCCCTCGCTGACGGCGTGCTTGGCCAGCTCGCCAGGCAGCAGCAGACGGACGGCGGTCTGAACCTCCCGGCTGCTGATGGTGGAGCGCTTGTTGTAGAGAGCCAAGCGGGAAGCCTCGCCAGCGATACGCTCGAAGACATCGTTGACGAAGGAGTTCATGATGCCCATGGCCTTGCTGGAGACACCGGTGTCGGGGTGCACCTGCTTGAGCACCTTGTAGATGTAGATACCGAAAGACTCCTTTCTCCTCCTCCTCCTCTTGGAATCCTTGCCCATTCGGCGGCCCTTGCCAGCCTTCTTAGCTCCTTTCCCTGACTTCGGTGCCATCATCCAAGATTAGTGAATGATAAGATGACAACATCGCGGTATGTTTGCCTTTTATTGTCTCCTCCATCAATTATGCAAATTTTAAGATTACCTAGATAGCCGAGATATATCATTACGACCATTGGTCAAAACTTTGGATAGTACCTTTATGATTGGCTGATGTATGAGTATGAGTGATGTCATTGGCCAATGGGACTCAACATCTTCTTGTAACATAATATGCAAATCAGCACTTTATACAATGATCATGTTTTCTAGAGTAATGAGCTGATTGGATGGTGCGATTTCAGTGAAAGATGCCTTACCCCTCTCCCATTGGTTATTTTGTCAAGGCAGAACAATGATTGGTTACTGAATCGATAGAATTTGGATCCTGTGGGATGTATAAAAGGGGCCATTGATAATTCAAAATATTTTCTGCCAAGCAACTTTGTAGGAAGTTAATTAACGGTACCGAAATGTCTGGACGTGGTAAGGGCAAGAAGAGGAGCAAGGGGAAGAGCCGATCCTCCCGTGCAGGGCTTCAGTTCCCTGTCGGCCGTGTGCACCGTTTCATGCGCAAGGGCAACTATGCTGGACGTGTTGGCGCCGGTGCCCCAGTCTACATGGCCGCCGTGCTGGAGTACCTGACCGCCGAAGTGCTTGAGTTAGCCGGCAACGCTGCTCGTGACAACAAGAAGACCAGAATCATCCCCCGTCACCTTCAGCTGGCCGTCCGTAACGACGAGGAGCTGAACAGGCTGATGGGTGGTGTGACCATCGCCCAGGGAGGTGTGCTGCCCAACATCCACGCCGTGCTCCTGCCCAAGAAAAAGTAATTTTCAAGACCTACGAACAAATCCCGGCCCTTTTCAGGGCCACCCACATCCCCTAAAAAGAGCTGCCTCAAAGTCACACGTTTAAAGTTTTATGCACTTCAGGTATACAATAGCCTTGGACCTATGTAAACAGAATAATATAAACCCTCATACATCATGATTATCCTGCCGCAGCATGCCCCCTCCTCGCCGTGGTACTGATGAGGCCTACCCAGGAAACTTACCAGGTTCATGGATTTGAATGCACATTTGTCCTTTAATCTTTCGTTATGATGAAAAATATGAGCTCTTTTATCATAATGCCGTGCTGACATCTGCCTTGTACGAATTTTATCATATCCATTTATTACGCCATTGTACCTAATATTTGCACGGTAAGACTACATGTCCTGAGGTTCAACTGGGCGTGGTGCCGCCCATCGCCATGGTGAAGTTCAAAGGTCCCTACGTGACGCAGTAGAAAAACACAGGTGAAAAACAAACCGGGGCTTTTTTTTTTACATGGGCAAAACACGGGTTTTACTGCTCAGTGTTTGAGATGCCTTTCCCGAGGACTGTGTATCGTTTAGACCACAACTTCTGGTGTGAGCAGCTTACCTAACGTCAGACGCGTACAGCTCAGTGCACTCAAACATCAACGGGACCCATATAGATTAGCGTCAACAACAGGTTAGCGACAACAACAACCATATGAATACGTCATGTTTTGTGGTTTGTGGACTGCCATTGTACCAAGAAGAAACCGTACTGATGGACACGTTAGCTGCCCACTTTAAACAACCTGCCAACGGAGGCGTAAACGTTTTGAATATGATGAGAGGATACCCTGGAACGATGCTAGTATTGATTTCAGACGACGGAGGTTAGTGTATCTTCAACATAATTTAGGATCCTAAGGAAAGTGGCTATCACTGAGCCGACAGAAATAACAGAGATTTTAAGGTAATATCACCGTACTCATTGACGTTATCGGTCATCGGATGTTTTGAAACCTGAACAAAATGACGAACATCACAAATGACGAACATTTACTTCCTCTTTGTTGCCTTGTTTTGCTTTCTGTTCTGTATTTTCATGTTTCAGGTATTTTTAATATTTTATTATTCTGCTGGATAGTAATTTCATTTATTTACACATCATCGCCAACTGTGTTATAATACATATGTGTGCGTTGTATATCTGTTATTTATATAATGACGAAGATGCAGATTGAATGTGTTCTTTGCATTTTTTTTTCTGTGTGTAGACGAGAGAAAGTGGATGTTCGAAAAGAAACACCGCCTGGATTCGCTTGGTCCTTTCAGCAATATTCCACTATCCGTGGAGCAGCTGAACCCCAAATTTGAGCAAACCGTGATGACTCAGATGAAGGAAGGGTTGCAGACTACATACTGGGGACAGGTGCCACGGGGACCTGCATACGAGATGTGTCACGAGCCCAGGGGACTGGCCCTCATTTACAACAACATCAACTTCAGAAAAATCACACACCCAGGACGGGTGCAGAGAAAGATACAGGTAGGTTTTGCATGTTGATATGGGAATAAGCATCAAATCCATTACATGAACTGTTAGATTTATTGGAAAATTGCCATTTTACACCATATTTTGGTAGCTTATTTGCTTTCTCTTTCGATGTCAAGGCAGGTGCGTACATGCAGTCACATATTTTGATGACTCACACTCTGGGTCAACAATGGCTTGTTTGTCGATCGGACTCGAACCTCTATTCAGTGTTATCAGTTGCGTACAATGGGCATACAATTAGATCTGTGACTCATGTTTTCAACAGGTAATATGGAAAGGGGGAGTAGAGGGCATACAAGAAACCGAATTGTAAAGTCCCAGGCCAGGGAAGACTGCCTGCCTGTAAAGGTGGCCGAGTGAAAAACTATGTTTTGTTTACCTAGCATAAGACGCGTGAAAGAAAAACAAACAGGTAGCTAACCCATTTCCGCCCTTCCTCATAGAATATCCTTGGCAAATTTCCATTTCTCCCTGTTTCAGAGCGACTGAGGGGGTTGTTTGAGGGGTTGAAGTTCGACGTGCGCTGCTACAAGAACATGACCTACCAGGACATGATGACAACCTTAGAGCAGGCTGGAGAAGAGGACCACTCGAATTTCGACTGTTTCGTCTGTTGTGTCATGTCTCACGGCGCGCAGGGGAAAGTCTTTTCCTCAGACGAATATCCCATTGAAATTTCCCTGCTCCTAAAGCCGTTCAATGCCAAAGAATGCCCCTCCCTCGTCGGAAAACCTAAGCTGTTTTTCATCCAGGCTTGTCAGGGAGTGCATGTTCAAGAGCGCGTGCCAGTAGACTGCGCGTTCGACGCGAATGCAGTGTTGCACGTGAGCCAGGAGGCCGACTTCTTCGTGGGCCTGCCCACGGTGCCCGGCTGCGTAGCTCGGCGCGATGACGACGGGGCTCCCTATATCTACCATCTCACTAACGTGTTCAAAGAGTTCGGGGACACCTACGACCTGTTGACTATGATGACGATGGTGGCAAACAAAATGGATCAAAGGGGAGTGTCGTCCAACCATTCCACTCTCAGAAAGAGTGTTTACTTCAATCCGTAGAAGACATCCTAAACGACACTACAATGACAAGAAAATGTTCAACAAAAGTTAAGCATGAAAGAACCTTGCCATGCGCCGTGAGACATGACATCGACAAGACGGCATGGACGGTACTAGCTTATTATTGTATACAACATTTCAATGTCTGCTTGAAGCAACGACAGACTATGTAACAAATACTTGCTGGTGTTCTGTTTTCATGGTTTGCTTCTCTGAAGGTGGTATTACATGTACAACATTTTAGGGTATGCCATTGTTTTTAATGTTAATCATACGTATATGACAGTATCATTGTACAGCATGTCCATATTTGTGTAAGCCATGTACAGAAGAAATTTGATGTAGGCCATTTGTAAGCCATTGTTTTATTTGTGTAAGTATATTTCTTGTTGTATTCATGTCAATTTGAGCATTGTATAAACGCAAAGTGGTAAGTTATTTCTTTGGAAAGAATATAATTTGGGAAGTATCTGTATTTTCATAGATTGGGTTGTCACTGTTTAATGCGATCAGTACATGCCTCATTTCATAGGTGTATTCTTTAATAAACATGTTTCTACTGCGCAATTGTTCGATTCGAGTTATACAGATTCCTCTGCCAAGCTTAAGTCCAGCACTGACATCAGTGCTTCAAGTTCTGACGACTGAGAATCTGAATCTGAGATGAAGTCGTCCTCTTCAGGCATAATGTTTCTGGGAGGACTCACTGGCACCTTCACCAAAACTCTCGGTATGTCCTTCCCTTGCAACAAGTGATGCCCCACACACATTTCTATCTCACCGTTCTCGTTTAAGCTCTGAAATTCTAGCAACAAAGAAAGTCTGTTTCGTCTTCTAATGTGGACACAAAAGTCTACATTGGTCTTGTACACACAAGAAGTTGCTTCCACGACGTTGTGCAGCCTGAGATGTAGTTTCTGTCCCTCCTTGATGACGATGTCCTCTTCTGTGACTCCTTCCTGAGGTTGGAACCCTTCAAGTCTCGCCTGCTTGGTGACAAAGTCTTCCGTACCCGGCGTGATGAGTTCTAGACGCATCTCGAGCAGATTGGCGACGACTTGGGCCTGGCTCGACGACCCCTGGCGGCCGGAAATGGGACTGCTGTGCGACAGGACGACTTCATGGGTCGACCACCTTTTGAAAGCCAGGAGACTGACGTGTTTTCTCGCCATGTTGTGGATGATGGACATCACGGTGCCGTGTACGTTCAGGTCAAGGCCTGGCGGGCAGCACAGCGCTACGTAGCTGTACGGGAAGGTAATGAACTCCGTCAACTTTCATTTATATAACACCAATGTGACATACAGCGTTGAGTAATTTAGTACTGCCCCCCAACTTAGTACTGCCCCCCCTAAGTTTACCATTCATTCTTTATTTTTTACCCAACATCCAACATTTGTGAAAGCGCATGAAAGGAATAGTAGTATGAATATTGTCTTGATGGGGGCGGAGAGGAGAGATCAAACCAATAGGATATATACCAGCGATCGCCATGACATCACGGCCAGCGAGTGGAAGGCAAAAAGAGGGTGACAATTGGCTGCTTTGCCTACCAATAATTTGCACACGTTTTCAAATAATTTGCAAGTATATGAATATGATGTAAACAAGAACAGCGAAACGTGTTTTTCATAGTAACCTCTTACATAAACGACCGGAGTCGGACTCCAGCAAGACAAGTAATGAAACGCCCACCTTTGCAGCTCCTTGGTGCGGAAGGACACGCTCTCGCTGTGGCCACGCACCGTCACGCCCCTGACACGTGACGTCATGTCTTCCCACTTGTTGTAGGAGTTGGAGTAGCCCACGATGTGGACCTGAGTCGTGTCGATCACGTTCCTCACGTTCGCGTCGTCCATCGAGAAGACGATGTCGCGATGGGCCGCAGCGTTTCTCGGGGAGGGTTCGTCGTTCTCAGACGGGAACACCAGGGGCAGGGAAATCTGAAATCAAAGGGAAAAGGTAAACAGCTAATAACAGAAGGTATCCTCCGTAGTTACCACTGCCTCCCCCTTTTCGCTTGCTACCGAGGTAGCATGCAGGATGGCACAGAAGATGACATCTACACGCACACACAAATGTTTTTCCAACATGTAAAGGTTCTGTTCTACTAAGGAGGATAGTCTGTCATAACGCTAAAAGAGAATAGTCTACCTGTCACAACGCTAAAATCGATAGTCTGCCACAATGCTAAAAGAGTTTGTCATATTGGTGAAGGAGGATAGTCCATCATAATCGTAGAAGAGAAGACTCCTTCCGTACTTGAGCAAAGTCCCTGAGCTGGGTGAGTCTGGAGGTGATGCTGATGACATGGCTGGCGGCGATGAGGGGGAGGGCGTGTTCCCGCGGGGACATGCGGGTGGTGGTGTGGATGGCCCGGGTCAGACACGAGCCGTGGAACGGGAGAACCTGGAGAGGGTGGGTAGAAAACGTCATTTACAATGTCAACAAAAAGTACAAATGTCGGGTGTCGTTTCACACCTTTCCAAAGAATGCATCGAAATGATTCTAGTATCATCGCAATGAAAAAACTGCAGAGAATGTCATCATAGTCCAGTGGCTCTTTTTTATCTTGTCCAAAATATTGTATAAGTTGCACCTTCTCCTGCCTTAATGTGATTTAAAAAGAACAAAACATTGATTACCTGGAATTTGACGGCCTTGGGCCTGTGCAGAGGGTCCTGCGGCAGGTGGAGCTGCACGCCGTTCCCCCGGGACGTCTCCAGACACGTCTCCTCCTGCCCCGCCTTCAGCCAGTGTTCGTACGTCTTCGGCCGAGACACGACGATAAACGTGGCCAGCCGATCTATGCCGACAGCCGCACGGCCCTGTACATTAAGTCATGATAAACTTCAGGGGGCACACTCCAGTTTATTTTGGGTCTCAATTCGATTCTGCATACCCTCAACTCTAGCAACCGCCTCTTTCAGGAAATACCTCTTAAGCCAAAACACTGTTTGCAAATGAAGGATATCCCTCTAGCTACGAGAACAATAGAATTTCAATTTCTTTCACCTCTCACATTCTAATAAATTTTAGGGGGAAAAGAATTTTTCGATAAAAAATGATGCCAAAAATTGGCCATTTTCACGTGGAATTAGACCCATCACCCATAATTTAGCCACTAATATGACTTATATGGTCGGAAAGAGAAAACCCGTATGTATAATTAAGAAAAGTATAAAGAAAATCCTAACACTGAGATTATCATAATAGCCAGTCGGGCGAGGCATAGCGACAGCACCCCCAGAACGCATGTACAACGCATATCTGTGGGTCAAACCCAAGCACCGCGCTTAAGGCGGAAGGACACCCGGAAGTAAGCCTCAGACCCGAAATTAATTTTCACCCAAAACACGCCACTTCTTACACTTTCCACCCAGGTTAGTAGTTAATACCATTCTGCAGCAGATTATGAGAAACATGAACCATCGGAAACCCTTTGTCCCTTTTTTTCTGGGCACTACCACTCGTAGCCCTCCCTGATCCTGCCCCCACTGGTAGCGCTCCCTGATCCTGCCCCCACTCGTAGCTCTCCCTGATCCTGCCCCCACTGGTAGCCCTCCCTGATCCTGCCCCCACTCGTAGCCCTCCCTGATCCTCCCCCCACTCGTAGCCCTCCCTGATCTGCCCCTCCTTCCACTCGTAGCCCTCCCTAATCTCCCCCACTCTTAGCCCTCCCTGAAGGGGGCACACCCCAGTTTATTTTGCATTGGGTCTCAATTCGATTCTAGTCATACCCTCAACTCTAGCGACCGTCTCTCTCAGGAAATACCTCTTAAGCCAAAACACTGTGCTTGCAAATGAAGGATATCGCTCTAGCTACGAGAACAATATTCTTTCACCTCTCACATTTTAGTAAATTTTAGGGAGAAAAAGAATTTTTCAATGAAAAATTATCATTGGCCATTTTCACGTGGAATTAGACCCATCACCCAGAATTTAGCCACCATAATGACTTATATGGTCGGAGAGAGAAAACCCTTATGTATTATTAAGAAAAGTATAAAGAAAATCCTAACACTGAGATTATCACAATAACCCGTCGCGCGAGGCATAGAGACAGCAACCCCAGAACTGTAGCTCGTAGCCCTCCCTGATCCTGCCCCCACTCGTAGCCCTCCCTGATCCTGCCCCCACTCGTAACCCTCCCTGATCCTGCCCCCACTCGTAGCCCTCCCGTGATCCTGCCCCCACTGGTAGCCCTCCCTGATCCTGCCCCCACTCGTAGCCCTCTCTGATCCTGCCCCCACTCGTAGCCCTCCAGTGATCCTGCCCCCACTGGTAGCCCTCCCGTGATCCCTGCCCCCCACTCGGTAGCCCTCCTCGTGATCCCTGCCCCTACTCGTAGCCCTCCCTGATCCTGCCCCCACTGGTAGCCCTCCCTGATCCTGCCCCCACTCGTAGCCCTCCCTGATCCTGCCCCCACTCGTAGCCCTCCCTGATCCTGCCCCCACTCGTAGCGCTCCCTGATCCTGCCCCCACTCGTAGCCCTCCAGTGATCCTGCCCCCACTGGTAGCCCTCCCTGATCCTGCCCCCACTGGTAGCCCTCCCTGATCCTCCCCCCACTCGAAGGGGCACACCCCAGTTTCTCGCTCCCACTGATCCTATAGGTTCCAGTGGGAGCGAGAAACTGGGGTGTGAAAAGAGGCCTTTTTCACGGACGCCGCACAGCATGAAGGAAAATTTAGTCGAGAACGCAACCCATATAGAAAGAAAACGCGTACTCTACTGCCAAATATATCTCATTCGAAAAGAAGTCCTAGCACTAGGAAAAGTACAATAACGGTTATCCTGACGCATTATGTTGACAGCCCCTGGTAGTGACGTCATCAGCCAGGCCGCCTAGGACGCATCACTGTTCCCGGCCTCGGAGCGATACCCTGAAGCGAAGATTCGCCGACCAAAACTGACCCAAAAGAAGCTATTAGGGTCGCACTTCATGGCAACGTTGAGCTGATTACACCACAACCCTCATACACTAATTAGCTTGGCACAGAAAAACCACTAAAAACCCTTACTCCAAAATAAACAGGGACTACAGTGGAGAATGGGGTTGTACACCGTTTAGTGCGCAAGAATTGCACATGGTACAACTTATGGGATATAAGAACAAACCTACTATCAGACTAATGTACTTGACAAAAGACTGTAGCATGGAATGAGAATGTGTTGGTGGACTTAGCTTTTTTAACTTGTTCTATATGCACAATAGTGCCCTAAATGTGCAAAGCATGGGATGCCACATGCCATATACATGTTTCCAGTGTGAATTAAGAAACCAACTTCGAGGGACCAACCAATAAACGATTATGAAAACTGTTTTAAACCGTCTTATTAACTCACCAGTTCGTCGTCCTGTGCGGACAAATCTTGCCAGTTTCCCTTCCCGCGGGTCGCTTTAATGACGACCTCACGCTCGTCATCATCGGCAGAAACAGAGTGAGGAATCTGTAAACACAAAGGTAGGGATGTGACGTAACACTCAGTATGACGATATTTTTCAAACAATCAACAAATAAACAAACAATAATGTTTACTCATATTTCCTTACCTGAAGGATGGCGTGTTTCTGTAGATGGGTGACAGGCTTGATTTCTATGACGTCAGAGACCAGGATCTCCCCGGCAGCCAATGGCAGACGTCGTGGGTAGGTGGTCGGGTCTAGGACCTGGCACGTGACCAGGAGGCTGCTGCGGAACGCCTTCTCCGGAATGGACAGCAGGCACCTGCCGGGCAGAGTCAGCTCTGCGCCCGCCGAATCCACCTCGTAGCTGCAACAGGCGTTAAAATTAAGAAAGCAACATGGCATTCAAACATAGAATATACTCTTCAAGATGTGTCACATTTCCCACATCTAGAGAATTGTGTACTCGACAATTGCCCTATGTGATTTATTGTAAATAACTAACAAAAACATTAAACGTTAAATACAAATCAGTATGAAGAAGAAAACACGACACTATCGCCGAAATCCCTTTAGGTGAATATAGCACAGGTGAAGACAAAGGTGTGACGACATACCTGCTCTCTACGCCGTAACCATGGAGATACGTGATGGCCCCGCCCAGCCCCACGACCTCCCCGATCCTGTCCTCTAACTCCTCCCACAGACACAGTCTGACCTCCATGTCTACCGTCAACTCCACCAGGTCCTCCACGTTATCCATTATCTTCATGTCATCCTTCACCTGGGAAAGGACAATGAACTTACACTTGAGCCTTTCATGTAAAGTCAAGCCATATACCCACAAGCCATATACAATGTACGCTCGTACACGTACACATGTAGTGCGTGAGTTGTGTTTTGTAAGACACACCAAGTATGGAACATTACCACCAGTCCACCACCTAGCCCCCTCCTTTCACCCACCAACCCTTTAACTAAATACTATTTCCCTAACATTTTTCCTTAATCTCATGATCCGGAAACTTTTTCACATGTTCACTTATACCATTTCACAACGAAAATGTTTAAATATCTTCATTCTGCTGGCTCCCAGATAAAGAACGCTAGCCTGGAACATATAAAGCTTGGAATGATCTTACCTCGTCGATGGCTTCTTCCAGCATCCATTCCACCACAGATTCCATCAGCTGCCCATTGGTTACGTACTCCGGGATTTCCTCCAATAACCCTTCCTCTATCAAGAAGTCCACAGTTTGGAAGAGACACTTCTGTACGGCGTAGGTCGTGAGGGAGAGCATTTCCTCGGGGTGGGGCCGGACCCGCCACGGAAAGTCGTCGGCCAGTCTGGTCAGGTTTGGCCGGCTCCGCTCCGCGTGGTACAGCGTCGGCATCGTCACCACCGGTGGAACATGCCACTTGATCGTCAGCGTGGCCCAACACTCGTTCAGGATGGAGTTACACAGAATCCGCAGCGTCTTGTCCACCACCACGTCTTCTAACTTCCCGGCGTCTTTGAGGACGACCGCCGAGATGACCCTGGGGTTGCCCTGTGCGAGCGTGAGAGGGCGGGGGGACCGCATGGGGTTGTTCTCGGCGATCAGTCCGTACTTAACCCCACCTGACACATGTTTCCTCTGCAGTCCACGCATTTGATACAGCGACGTGGGCAGCTTTTTCATGCTGTTTTCCTCCACGTCAAGCGTCTGTAGCATCTTCAGTTCACCGATAGATTCTGGCAAAGTCTGTAGCTTATTCTTGGCCAACCGCAGGCACCTGAGCTGCGCCATTTGCCCAATCTCCTCCGTCAGACTGTAGAGGCTGCACCTGCTCATATCCAGGTCCTCAATGTCAAGAGTACACATGAAGTCAGGCATAGGTAGATCTGTAAGGAACTCGTTTCCGCGAAGAGACAAAATCCTCAGTTTCTTCAGGCTTTTGCGCACTCCGGTTGTGAGCTGTTTGACCCGACCGATTTTGTTATAACTCAGGTTTAACGTTTCCAACTCGTTCAACCCGACAACGACGGAAGGCACAAGTTCAAAGTCGTTATTACTGAGATCCAAAGTCTTGAGACGTCTCAGGTCTTTGAAGACGTTCGGTAATACCGAGAGGCGATTTCCGGCCATGTCCAAGTGTATGAGCGACGTCAACATCGTGATAACCGAAGGAAAGGTCTTTATGTTGTTCCCCCGGAGGGAAAAGTCTTGTAGCTTCTTCAGCTTGCCGAGCTCTTTTGGCAGAACTTTCAGCTTGTTATTAGCCAGATCTAGAAGCACAAGCCTAGAACAGTCTCCTATCAGTTCGCTTACTAACGTAATCCTGTTGTGTCCAGCGTTCAGGATTTCTAATTGAGATAACATTGAAATGTTGGGAGGGATCCTCTCTAGATAGTTGGACTCTAGAGATAAGACTTCCACCTCCTCCAAGCTGAAGACGTCGTGAGGTATGAACTTGAGACTCTTGTTGGCTAGTGACAGCTGAGTCCTGTTGGACGGGTCCTTCTTCAGCATGGTTTTCAGGTTGTGGAACCAAAATGGCTTTCCTATCTGGATTGCGTCACCTTCCGTGTCCCCCATGGTGACAGTGTTAGATGCCACGAACTTGTGAACAGTTAATCTGGAGGTCTTCCTCCTGTAACGCGATTGGGGGAACGTTAATATCGTACTAACACATCGTGATATATCTTTGGTACGTACGAATGCTTTTCGCGATCTACCGCTACCAATATAAATCTGACCTAGTTATGATTCTGATCAAGCACAGCACACACGAGACCTGATATATGACGAGAAGGCATAGGGATAATGATTATCGTACATACCAAGTTACTTATGCAGACAAACAACAGACACTGTGGTAATTTAGGCCACGGCGCGTATACTCCTTGATTATACTACATTCTACCATTTGCCCAAACGGATTTGTGTATGTAGGCTTCAGTTCCATCATAGAGAAGCAAAAGCCTAGATAAAGAGATTATCTATGTCCAAGGCAGTCGGGATATCTTAGGATACATAACTACTTATAACTCACCTGATGGTCCTACTCCTACTATTTAGTCGATGCACTAAAACATCCTTGCGTTAACCTTGAGAAGAAGTGAAGAAAGTGGCGCGGTCTAAATATACCCCCTCACTTCTATCTGAATAGAGTCCATATGAATACAGGGTGCGCTCAACACCGCCACACAAAACTACCCGCTGTATGGCGAAGGGGTGTGTTTGGCATGATACGTCGTCAGACATGAAACTGATAGTTTAGTTTATGGTGTTTAAATGTTTACTCTGGTTCACTGGTCCGGTGTTGTCTGTCGGCTAGAACAATAGCTACGTCTTCGGCGGTCTTGGATGACGGATTAGCTGTTGTAGCTTAGGGATTAACGTTCTACAATAAATCCGCTTCTGTCTTATCTGGAAAGAACCAGCAGCACAACAGCATGATTTTAACGTGCTATAATTTTCACGTGTCCTTGGGAGCCACACTACTGCAAATAAACTGCAGCAAACAGAATCATTGTGCATTGTTCTTTGCATCGAATAGCATTCAGTCAATAGTACGGCTGAACGCAGAACAAAGATATCGTCTCGAATGTTGCTGGCCTGTTTCTCAGCTTACTAGGTGAGGCCCTGTACCTGTTGGCGACCCCTTGCGTAAGCACAAGAAGAGGAGGTATAATGACCGGTGTGGATTATATTGTGCCATTTATCATATCCTTCCACTTGACAGTCGCTACCGCCGTACATGCGGGGTCATCAAAAGTAGAACGTGCATGCTACCAATGTAGTGCGTGAATAGGCGTCTTGCCAAGTTTGTTAGTTTGTTGTAATATCATCCAAAAATCAACGAACATGACATTGCACTTTTTGCAACTTTTAATATTGAAAAAGTATGTCTTACCCAACCGTTGAACATTTGCATTTTGCGACAGTTACCTTAGCATAAATAGCACATACAGTGTCAATAATATCAAGACGAGCATTCCAAGCATTTCCAAATAGACTAGGGCACAGACACGTATCATATCATAGCAGGAATTCAGCGGACGGCTTTATTGCATTTTGGATTGAAGCATGTGCATTACGCAACATAGTTTTTCATGATTGTCCCTAATTAACCAGTGTATATATAAGGGAGTATGAACTGACTTGATATTACAGATACAAACATGTAACATGTAACTATAGGTCAAAACTCAGTGGAGGTTCACTGATTGTGTCAAACCCCACCCCGGGGCAAGTAATAGGCACTTCGAACAGCACCTTGGGGGTTTTTGTCACCCCTTTCTTGCCCTCACCAAGGTGTCCCGTGCACACCTCCATGGACCCAGTCTCGCTGAAATCCATGAACTCTACCGTCAAGGACAGTCTGTTGCGTTTTCTGACATAAACGTGAAAGTTGACGTAGTCCTTGTACGCGTCACATTCCAAGACGTTGTTCAGTCTCAGGTGAAGGTCCTGTCCTTCTTTCAGGAGCACGTCTTCTCGTGACGCCCCATCTTGTGGTTCAAACCCTTCCATCTTCGCCTCAAGCCCCACGAATCCGCGCGTTTCCCTGGATGCAAGTTCGACGCGGAGGTCAACTCGTCTGGCGCTGCCTTCACTCTCGCGGTGCGCCACCTGGCGAGTGGGGCTGGCATCGTATAAATAGTCATTATTGTGGTTCGCCCATCTTTTGAAGACCAGGACGTTCACTTGTGTTGTCGTCATGTTTCTGGATAAAGACTTCACCGTTGGGTCAATCCTGACTTCCTCCTTGGGCGAATAGCAGAGGACAGCGTAACTGGGGAGAAACACCATGCCTATGAATTTTGTATCAAGGACTGCGAAAGTCTGTTGAGATTACAAGAATATCATGCAAAACATGCCATTAGTTTTGCCTTTGTCAAATCATTCTTTAATATGTAAGAATTTAGAGATGTTGGTACTTGTGTCCCCGCTAAGTTCACAGGACAATAAGACAAACCTTTGCAGCTCCTTGGTGCGGAAGGAGACACTCCGCCCCTCCAAGGTCACTGACTTGACCTTCGGCGTCACATCCTCCCACTTGTTGTGCGCATGCGAGAACCCCACGACGTGCACCTTCTCCCTGGAGAGGTCTTCTACTGTGGTCATGGTGACGTCATCGATGGTCAGGATGCTGTCGTCATCGGACGTAAACGACTGGCTTCGTGGTGACGTGACGTCATTTTCTGACGACAGTGCCAGCGGTAACACGAGCTGAGAATAGTACACATACATAAAAATATGAGTGACTAATAATACATGACAAAAACATGAGACAACAACTTTCCGTCAACAAAATTTAGTTTGTTTTTATTTAGTTGTATCTATTTACCTGGGCGTAGTTCTTCAGTGGAATGAGCCTTGAGGTCAAGTTGAAGATGTGGCTAGCAGCTAGAAGTGATGACGCCTGCCCACGAGGGGTGGATCCCCGCTGATTGACACGGCAGATGCAGCTAGCGTCAACGGTCAGCACCTGTAACATTTAGGAAACGTCAGTGTAAAAAAGATGAGGTCTGACAGTATGTTATCCAAATTTATTTCAGTGGTCTCCTTATTTACTGCACATCTATAGATATATATTGATATATTTTATCATGGCATTGCCGTTCTTCAACCTCTGGTATCTTTTACCTGTTTTGTTTTGTGCTGTCCTGTATTGTCCTGGTTTCTGTCATCTTGATATACCAAAGTATGTTATGTTGTCTAACCAACCTGGAAGTTCATTCCCCGTGGTCTGGCGATCGGGTCTGCCGGCAGATGAACCTCCACCCCCGCGGCCCCCGTCCTGCCCATGTGAACCTCCTGCTGCCCCGCCTTCATCCAGTGTTCGTACGTTCTCGCCCGCGACACCACGGCAAACGTACCCAGGCGGTCCACTCGGTACACGGCTTGGCCCTAGGAGAAATATCTGTCATCACATGACTTAAACTCATCTCTGTATGTCCATACATGTGCATGAGGAATCTTAACGTTACCATGATATGACCAACAGTATTAAACTGGTACCTTAATACCTTACCGTAATGGCAATAAGTTAATTTTCCATGTTCTTTGTATGCCTAAACAAACATGTAATTGAGTATGGTTGGGACTTACCCGTACGCCTTCGTCGTCCTCGGCGAACACTGTTCTCCAGTTTGAGCCGTTTCGGGAGAACTTCAGCACAAATTCACGGTCGTCGTCATATGGGGAGACCGCATGTGGGATCTGGAACAATGGTAAACATTATTGTTGTATAATTCTACTGTCGTTTTCATATTTTGTAAACACGAAACCCTCCATATAGGTTATCTTCTGGCATGACCCCTTAATCCTTTCATATTTTATTGTTTTCTCTAACAAGTCATCCAACACAATTAATATTTCAACCGCACCCCAACCTTGGCCTTGTGTTCGGAAGGAATAGACCCGAGAACCATTATCTAGCGTCTAGCTACACCTGGGCTTGAACCGTCCCCTTCTCACCTTGAGCATGGCGTGTTTCTGTAGCTGTGTAGAATGCGGCTTGATGTTGATGACGTCAGAGACTAACGTTTCCCCGGGGACCAATGGCAGGCCCTGTCCGTACGTGACAGGGTTCAGGACACAGCAGCTGACGGTGACGTCCTTGTTTAACGCCTTGTCGGGTACCTTCAGGAGGGCGCCGCCCGGAAGCTGAAGGTCCGTCTCCGAGACACCTACGTGGAAACTGAGAACAGAAATTGTGCATTGCCTTCTAGATCTTGAAATATGACATATTAAATGAAACAGAATCCTACACGAGAATATATATTGTGTACATTCGCACCTCTTCTCGCCATACTGGTCCAGAGTCGACGCCTCCCCGAGTCCCAGAACCGCTCTGATGTGTTCTTCTACCGCCTCCGCCAGGCACCAGCGGGCATCCAACCCCACAACTTCCCTCACGATGTCTTCTACTGTTTCCATCATTCTCAGGTCTTCTCTCACCTGAAAAATATCAATCCAATGTTGAGCCGTTTGACAGAAGTCCGTGAAAGCCTGCCTGAACGCAAAAGTCTGTACCATATATAGTTTCAAAAAGCTGACACTATCTGTCTGGCTGTTTCACCTGAAATTGCCACTATAAGTGTAACAAGTGATCCTTCTGTGTATATACATGTAACATATATAGTCCTAAACCAAGAATAATACTTTCTTTGAGTTGAATTTATTGAATTATTCCTTACCTGCTGTATGGCGTCCTTTATGAGCCAGTCGATGACGCGCTCCTCCACCATGTCCACCACATTCTCGTTGGACACCAGAGACATAACCTGGGAGAACACGATGTCCACACACTCATTCATACACCTCCTCAGGGCATCATCTACCAAGGCGTCTTCCGTGTCGAACCTTAGCTTCTTGGGCTTGGACGGCTTGTTGGGTAACGCCGGCAGAGTAGCTGTGGTTGTGGAAAGCCATTTCATCGCGGTTAGGGCACCGCCTCTTTTTGTCACCGCGGCCAGACACTCGTCCACGACGGCATTACAGACCCCTGTAAACGCCTCCTCGGCGACCACGTCTTCCAGCATGCCGGCGTCTTCAAGCAGTACAGCTGAGATGACCTCTGGATGACCTTGAGCTATGATGTGGGGAGGGGGAGACCACATGGGGTTCCCGTCTAGAATCAGTCCGTTCTTGGTCTCCCCAACCTTGTGCTTACTCTGTAGTTCCCGTAGCATGTACATGGAAGCGGGGAGCTGCTCCAGTTTGTTCTGCTCCACGTCAAGAGTCTGAAGGTTCTCCAACGAGCAGATTTCGTCGGGCAGGACCCGTAGTCCGTTCCTGGCCAACCGCAAACTCCTCAGTCCCTTCATGGCTCCCACTTTTGGATTGAGAACTTTCAAGGAGCAGTCACTGACGTCGATCTCTTCGATGCTGTCCAGCTTGCTCAAATATTCTATGAACGGAATGGCAGTCAGATTGCTGTTTCCGCGGAGACTTAAAACTTTCAACTTTTTCAGTCCCTTAGTAGTGCCCGTGGTGCGGTCTTGCCTACGGCCGATCTTGTTGAACCCCATATCCAATCTCTCCAGACTGTTCATTCCTACAACTGGTGCTGGGATCTGCTCAAAATTATTACTGCTGAGATCAAGAACTTTCAGTCTTTTCAGATTCTTGAAGCTAGTAGGTAAGATGCTGAGGCGGTTAGCGGCCAAGTCCAGATGCGTCAAAGGAGTCAACGTCGGCACCACAGGCGGGATACTGGTGATCTCATTTCCCTTCAAGTACAACTTGCAAAATTTTCTGAGTCTGGAAAGCTCCCGTGGGAGATCCGACAGCCTGTTGTATGACAGATTTAACTCCTGTAGCCTGGCGCACTGTGCAATATTTTCACTAACCAGTGTTATGTTATTTCTGGAAGCGTCTAGAACTTGTAGCTGGCTCATGTGAGCGATGTTGGGAGGGATCCTCTCCAGTTGGTTGGAGTTTACAAGTAGAATTTCTACCCCGTCCAATGTGAAGACATCGTGTGGAATTTGTCTCAAGTTGCGACTGGTTAGGGAAAGCTCTGCCCTTTCTGACGGGTTCTTTTTCAGCATAGCCTTTAAGTTTGACAGTCGGAATTTTGTTGCACCTTTTGTCGCCATCTTGTTATGATGTATAGTCCGTGATATTACATTTTCTACAATATCTGCAATATCTGCAATACCAAAACAAAAGACCCTTCAATTACTGAATGATTTAATGCACAGATGTTATCATTTCTGCTGTGGACAACCAGGTGTCAACATAACAACGTACGCCTTTCAATATGGCGTCCCGTCAACAAAATACTAGTACTAGTAACTAGGATCGTTTCTACCAACTGACTATCATAATTCCCCAAGCAACATGCATGATCCTTCTACAAGGAAATTTGTCAAAAAATCAAGTACTATATATTGCTTTCGGGCCATCTGTGGGAATGGCCGTCAGCAAGGCACTCTTTCGTCACCGAAAACCTAATCACAATCTTTCCATTTGATCTAGGGCAGATAATTTCTGATTTTCTGATTGAACATTAACTGTCCTTGCCAAAACTTTGTTGAGAACATCACTAAAATCCATCCTTACCCCGACACGTACCTTGATCCTGGGCCCTCAAAAGTAACAAAATTCGTCAGCCTTGTGGAAAAGAGTACATGACACGGGTCGTTGGAAGTAGCTGACTGCTCGCTGTGGGCCTAAAGCTAAAATTATCTTACCTTTTCTCGTTCGCCCACAATAAGGGTCGACCTGGCCGGTAAAGTATAACCAGCTAGGCTTTTCAGAGCTGAAGCGGTGGGGTAAGACAGGGAAACTGCACAGCACCAAAACAGATATTTAAGCAAAATTTACGACATCCGTATTGAGACTTTAAAGACAGGGAAATATTTAAGCAGACTTTTAGATCGATTAAAGTGTACTGAAAAAGAAATCTAATCTTTACGAAGGATTTTCGCAGTTGTAAATGTAACGTATTACGGCATGTTTCTTTACGCACGGTTTACAGATACTAAAATATTCAGTTCCGACAAACATGTTAAACTTATATGTCCCAGAAAGGTATAGGAAATGTTTCGTATTTCTGTTTCAAAACTTAAGTCAAAATTGAAACATGAGTAAATCAATCAGGTATATTTTTAATTTTTTCTACGCACAATTTAAAGCAAGACGAAAAAGACACCGCATAAATCATCGAGAGCCTGTGCCTAGAACTCTGTTTCCTTTCAACGCCTGACATGAATTGTAGCAGACCTCGGTGCACGCAAATACAAAAAATTTTTCGCGTTATGTTTTCATGGCTTACCAACAAACATATGACGTGTTTAATCCTCCTCTCCGCACACTTTCAGTGTACGGTGGTCAGACTTTCCCTCTTTAGCTTATGTTCCCAAAAGTTATATGAAAGGTAGCGTTTATTCAACAAATATACGACGCATTTAATCGTTCTCTACGCACACTTTAAGCGAACGGGGGGAGAACCTCCCCCCTTTAGCTTATATGTTCCCGAAAACAATATGAAATGTACCGTTTATTCAACAACAATACGGTGACAATACGACGTGTTTAATCTTCCCCAACGCGCAGTTTAATTGATATGTTTCCAAAAAGCTATAGATGATATGTAGCGTTTTTTTTTTCAGCAAACTTACGCTGTGTTATATCTTTTCCTACGGGTATTTTAAGTGAACGAGGAGGTA